ATCCTATTCCAACTAGGAAAGGGGGGGAGTCCTACTCCCAGAAGGAGTAGGACTCCTCCTGGCGCGCCACACCTTGGCCGGCCGGCCCCCCTCCCTTGAACCTTTATATACGGAGGCAGGGGCACCCCTAAAGACACAAGTTGATCCACGTGATCATATTCTTAGCCGTGTGCGGTGCCCCCTTCCACCATAGTCCTCGATAATATTGTAGCGGTGCTTAGGCGAAGCCCTGCGACGGTAGTACATCAAGATCGTCACCACGCCGTCGTGCTGACGGAACTCTTCCCTGACATCTTGCTGGATCGGAGTCTGGGGATCGTCATCGAGCTGAACGTGTGCTAGAACTCGGAGGTCCCGTAGTTTCGGTGCTTGATCGGTCGGGCCATGGAGACGTACGACTACATCAACCAAACGCTTCTGTTGTCGATCTACAAGGGTACGTAGATCATACTCTCCCCTCTCGTTGCTATGCATCACCATGATCTTGCGTGAGCGTAGGAAATTTTTCGAAATTACTACGAAACCCAACAGTACTAAGTTTCCAGTTAATACAATTCTAGCATGAATAATAAACATTTATCATGATATAAGGAAATATAAATAACAACTTTATTATTGCCTCTAGGGCATATTTCCTTCACTTCTTGGCGTGACATCCAATCTTCTTTTCTTCCTCGGGCTGAGCGCTTGCATCACAGATGCGCGAGTGGTCAGGAGCGGCAAGAGTGGAGAAAGAGATTTGCACATCTCAACACACACGTTCTCTTAATCACCATGCCGAAGCATATCACCACCAGACCAAGGCGGCGTGGCCTAGACCCGCCCTTCTTTAGGATCATCAGCAACAGTGGGCGCATGCTCTGGCCCGCCCACCTGCTCCACGCTATGTACCATTCATGCTGCATGGGTGCAACTAGCCTCCGATAGGCACACTTGCAAGGTTTCCATTGCCTCCACTTGCCCGATTTGTCTGCACTCGCATGTCGCTATCCAACTGATGAGACAGCGAGTCCAAAGCCCAGGAATCTCCAGTAAAGCTGTTCCTGTCCTCCTTCATTGGGCCCACCAGGGGGATACGGCAGGAGCCAATCAGGACGGATTCTCTGCCGTGCAGACCCCCAGCAGGCACCAGATCCCTGGGCCTATCCACCTCAAGCATGCAGCCAATCCTGTCGGCCCTGGTCCATCTCAACAGCTGGACCGAGGTAGGGGAGACAGTCTCAATTTGCATGCGCTCCATGGCCGCACATGACTCCACAGGCGCATCTAGACTGGTGGGACCCACAGGCGACTCGGGCCGGACCCCGATTGGCTGGCGAGACTCCACGGCAGCAACCGGTCCGAAAGCAGGGCACAGACGCAAACCAATGATACCCCCACATAGCTGTTGCTGACCGGAGACCGGACCGGATCCGATGCGATTTGAACCCGACGCCCCGCCGGCGGTGGCGCCACCGACGAGGATGAACCTACCGTGCTGGCCGAGAAGTCACCAGCGACCGCACCCCTCCTAGGCCGATATAGGCCAGAGCCAGGCACATGCTCATCCTTGCCATAGGAAGGCGACGGTGGCGGCGGCGGATGAGGAGGCCGCCGCCCGTCGACATCTCCAACGTCCACCAACACCGGCTCCACGAGAACAGTGATGTCGATCGGGTACCATGGAGTCTTGGACCGCCGTCCAGCAGCCACCTGATGTCCGATCTCCTCCGCCCAAAGATTCCACCTTGGCTCGTCGATGAAGAGCAGCCGGCGTCGAGGAATCCGCCGTGGTCGATCCGTACGAAGCCAAACTCTAAAATCCGCCATGTCCAAACGCCGAGCAGTGCTGTCATCCATGCCCACGACATATCCCAGGCCACGCAAGGTCACACTAGCCGCCCTTTGGTTCCATGCATGCGCAGGCATGCCGCGCAGGACGATCGGTACCAGGAAAGGCAGCGAAGCCGCCGTCGCCTGCGCCTGCCTGTTCCATGGCCGGATATTGAGCTCAAACCATGAGGAATGCACGTGCCCTGCGTGGACCATCCTATCACGGATCACCCCGTCCCGGCACAACACTAGGAAATCATCAGGGAAGTATGACCGGATGGACATATCCACCGGAACGATATCGAACACGGCATGCAAGGCCTCCGCAGCCGATGCCAGATCCACCGTAGGCCTGTGGCCAGTCACCGTAACCAGAACGGCCCGAGCAAGCTTGGCCTCCATCTGCCATAAGTCATCCAACGCCTCCAGGAAGCAAGCCTTCACCGGGTCCTCCTGTTCCGCCTGAGCACGCACCACCGCAGGCCGCACCGGCTCGTGATGACTGGAAGGCACCGAGAACTCTGGCCCAGCAGTCTCCCTGGCGTCCTGCAGCGTGCCCTAGGCAGGCTCCCGCACCACATTACTAAAAAGTTGAACGACAGCCGGAGGAGGAGGGTCGGGCAGCGGTGGGGGAAGCGACTGCGAGGAGGCAGAGTGCCTAGGGGACGGACGAGCAAGGGCTGATCCACCGGAGAAGAGCTACGCGGCCTGGTACACCCACACGAGATGTGACCAACTCCACGGTAACGCACGCAGAAGGACGGGTTTGATCAGTCCACCGAGATGTGCCCGTCGCTTCCGCAATTGTAACAGCAGCCATGTAGCTCCACCGGAAGCCGCGAGGAGGGCGGCGGACGAGGTGCTGGCAGCACACGAGGTCGACCCGGCGGAAGGCTGCGTCTTGGACGCCGATCCCGGCCAGGCGGAACCCGCGGGCGGCGGCGCACCTTGGTGTGCCAGGCATCCTCCGCCTGACGTGGAGCAGAGGCACACGACGGACCACCTGCCTCCCCTTGGACAATCGAGCCGAAGGTCGTGCCCAGGACAGGCGGCACGATGATGGAGCGCAGCTGGGGAAGCGGCCGCACCGAGGGAGACGGGGGGAGATCCGAGCGAGGAGGTGGTGGCGGGGGAGATGGGAGTGCCAGATTTGCCGGGGGCGCCAAGGACAAGCCGGACCCCGACGAGAGCGAGCCCGAGAGGGAGACACGAGATGCCATAGCGACCAGACGGGGGGTGGGCGCCTCCACCGGAGCGGGGGACGGCGCTATGATGGCCGCCGGCACCGGAGTGGCGGCCGGCGCGGAGCGCTAGGCAGGGGAGCGGACAGGGGATATAGAGCGGACATAGGATGCGATCCTACCAGTACTAAACCGATTGAACCTCCCATTAGTATGCATATATGCTCCTCTCGCGCAGCTCAACCCTCAAATCCTAGCAGCCCCTTTCTCTCTCTCTCTCGCAGGTTGAATTTGTATGTGCGTTAGCCTGTACAGATTGAAAATTCTATCACAGTACTGCACATGGGAGGTTCTGCCATTGACCGCCTAGATTTATTATGTGTTAGTTTGGTATAAAATTTCCTCTCTTTCTTAAGTTCATCTGTATTCAACCATTTCATTGGTGGTTCAACTTATTTTGTAGATAAATTTGGCGTTTGGTCTCCTTGGGTAAGGATTTAGGAAGCGTTTTCAGCAGAACTAATGAATCTCGAATGTGTATTTCAACACCCTCCGGGTAGTATTCTGTAAGTTTTTATTATTAAAAATAAGGTATTTTTGCAAGATTTGTCACTCAACTTTTATTTTCCTTTAAACATTTTTTCCAGGTCTATCCATCTCTCTGATGTGGTTACATATGACCGGATGGTGATTAGTTTACAACATTTGTGATGTCATGCTATGTCTACAAGTTCTACAGTTCTTTCTAGATATACTCAGTGCTACTCCGGGCTTTGTTGGTGGATTTAGCTTTCACCTACTTGATGATGAGAAGGCAAGCGATAGGAATAGAGAAGAATGTGTAGCATCAAATTTGTAGCTGGATATTGCATTTTTGTCTTCACCTTTTTTTGTTACAGAAGAACCATTTTGTTTGTCCCTGAGTACATCTAATCATCATATGTTCACTTGCTATTTCCCATAGATTGTTTGACTACATTAATTTTTTTATTTACTCATCTTCCTAGGGCATAGTATCCTAATATTGTCGAGCAAGAGCTCTGTGAAAGTGCCTTTGATATGCTGCATTGTTGAGCTTTTTTTGAATAGGTAGAGTTTTGTTCAAGGTTGCTTTTTTTTCCTTTTGATTCCAATAGAGCACATAACACAAACATAACACAATTTATTATTGTCTGATTTGGTCATTTTTGGTACAGCTCTAGACAGCATTAGTTTAGTTATCATTTAATATATTGCAAGTGATGTTTGGAAAATTCCACACCCCCATTCTTAAGTTTCCAGTGGCAATTTATCTAAGATGCTCTCTTCATGCTTTTACAATTGTGGACTGTATCCACCAACTAAATGATTCATGGTATATGAATGTTTGTTCCATTGCACAAAATTCATTTGTCTACAACAAGTGAGCATCATACATAGCTATCCCAAGTAAGTTTTTAAGTTTTTCTTACTGAGTTAGGAGTATAGCAGGTTAGAATATTATTATAGTTCAATGTTGTTTATTCATAAATGTTCCATCCTTTTATAGTATGCTAAGGGGTTTACAACTTCGTTAGATCGATGTCTTGATAAATCTTTTTTACATTAGTTGTCTACACAACATGACTCTTCATAGTCTTACTCAACCCTTTGCCAGTTTATAATTTGTGTTGTGCTCTATAGATATGCTCAACAAAAGATACAAATTTCCGCAGCAATGCATGGGATATCTACTAGTTTCATAATATAATACCAGCATTTTTGACACTGTAGGTAGTACGTACTTCCAATCCGTACTACTCACTCCGTTCGATAATGTAAGACGTTTTTTAACATTATATTAGTGTCAAAAAATGCTTTATATTATGAGACGGAGGAAGTACTTCCTACCGAACGGATCATATTATTTTCTGTGAGTATTGTAAAATCCAAATACAATACGTCCACTCAGAAGCAACAACGGCTCGCCGGTTTGCCTGAAACGCTCGGCGTCAGTCACACGAAAAAATTAGTAAATCCAAATGGCTCATGCGATGCAACCCAAATGAAGACAGGGACTCGTCGAGCGCAAGACTACAAAGGAAGACGTTCCGCTCGCTCACTGACCAGCCCCACGCTTGGGCCACATATCTCCACGGCCGGAGCTGGAGCTGCAGCTCACCACACTCCCTCCTCCATCCCCAGTCCACACCAAGGCGTGAGCGTGAGCTCGAAGCCATGGCGGCCGTGGGGACGCCGCAGGAACCGTACGCGCCCAAGCCGGCGGCCGAGGGGAGGGGCTACTGGCGGTGGCACAGGGACGATTTCTTCCCGGAGCCGTCGTTCGCGAGCTGGGGCGCGTACCGCTCCGCGCTGGCCGCGACCCCCGCGAGGCTCCGCGACCGCTTCACCGGCCGCTCCACCGACGCCATCGAGCTCGGCGCGCTGCGGCGCCGCAGCGAGAACGAGATGCGCCGCTGCCTCACGTGGTGGGACCTCACGTGGTTCGGCTTCGGCTCCGTCATCGGCGCCGGGATCTTCGTGCTCACCGGCCAGGAGGCGCACGACCACGCCGGCCCCGCCATCGTGCTCTCCTACATCGTCTCTGGCCTCTCCGCTATGCTGTCCGTGTTCTGCTACACCGAGTTCGCCGTCGAGATCCCCGTGGCCGGCGGCTCCTTCGCGTACCTCCGCGTCGAGCTCGGCGACGTCGCGGCCTTCATCGCCGCCGCGAACCTTATCCTCGAGAGCATCATCGGCACGGCCGCGGTGGCGCGCTCCTGGACGTCCTACTTCGCGTCGCTCATCAACAAGCCGGCGAGCGCGCTGCGCATACAGACCTCGCTCAAAGACGGGTACAACGAGCTTGACCCCATCGCGGTCGTGGTGATCGCGGTCACCGCCACCATGGCCATCCTGAGCGCCAAGGGCACTTCCCGGATCAACTGGGTGGCGTCCGCGATACACGTGGTCGTGATAGCGTTCGTCATCGTGGCAGGATTCATCCACGCCAACCCGAGCAACCTGACCCCGTTCATGCCGCACGGCGTGCCGGGCGTGTTCCAGGCGGCGGCGATCGTGTACTTCGCCTACGGCGGCTTCGACAACATCGCGACGATGGCGGAGGAGGTGAAGAACCCGTCGAGGGACATACCGCTGGGGCTGCTGGGGTCCATGTCGGTGATCACGGTGATCTACTGCGTGATGGCGCTGGTGCTGAGCATGATGCAGCCGTACACGGCGATCGACCGGAGCGCCGCCTACTCGGTGGCGTTCAGCAGCGTGGGGATGCACTGGGCGCAGTACGTGGTGGCGCTGGGCGCGCTCAAGGGGATGACGACGGTGATGCTGGTGGGCGCGCTGGGGCAGGCGCGGTACACGACGCACATCGCGCGGAGCCACATCATCCCGCCGGTGTTCGCGCTGGTGCACCCCAGGACCGGCACGCCGGTGAACGCCAACATACTCATCGCCGCCGCGGCCTGCTGCATCGGCTTCTTCTCCAGCCTCGACGTGCTCTCCAGCCTGCTCTCCATCAGCACGCTCTTCATCTTCATGATGATGGCCATCGCGCTCCTGGTCCGGCGGTACTACGTGAAGGGCGTGACGACGCGGTCGCACGCGCTGCGGCTCCTGGTGTTCCTGCTGGTGATCATCGCCTCGTCGGCGGGCATCGCGGCGTACTGGGGCACGACGCCCGGCCGGTGGGAGGGTTACGTCGCGCTGGTGCCGGCGTGGCTGCTGGGGACGCTCGGCATCCAGATGATGGTGCCGGCGGCGCGCGCGCCCAAGGTGTGGGGGGTGCCGCTCGTGCCCTGGCTGCCCTCGCTCTCCATCGCCACCAACCTGTTCCTCATGGGCTCGCTCGGCTCGGATGCCTTCGTCCGCTTCGGCGCCTGTACCGCCATCATGCTCATCTACTACGTCCTCGTCGGCCTGCACGCCACCTACGACGTCGCCCACGATGTGTGCAGCGAAGACGAGCTAAAAGACTACGGCGACGCCGCTGATGATGCTGCTGATGAGAAGGCGACGGCGAAAACGGCCGACGTCGAGAGGGCTAGCGCGGGAGACGGCGGCCGCTAAAGATGATCCGGAGTCGGCCAGACGGTAGTCAGTAGTCGCTGCTTGACTATACGCTGTCTGAAAACTTGTAATTCGTACCATCAAATGAATCTTTATCTTCACACGATTGTAATCTACACATTCGCAGTCTTGATCTTTTGTTTTGTAATGTACATGTATGCGTGCTGGTGACCAGTCAGTACACTTTGACATCACTGTCTCAAAACTTGTTACTTATGCTACATATAAGAATTTTGTTACTACGTGCAATATATGGATAATCCTACACCTACAAAGTGACTACGAAGGCCTATCTAAATTTCCAAACTATAAACCTCTCGGCTCCCTTGATTTTAATGAGGGTGGGCACCCCCTATCGATTCAATAAAGATTTTACACAGGTCTAGCATTGTCTGCAATATATTTAGAAAGAGAATGGTTTTTAATAACTCACGACCTCAGAAGCCATGGGTGTCTGTTGTCTACTCCCCTGGTATACTCCCATCTCGTGCTCCTCTTGACTTCAAGGGCCGAGACAAATTTACGGGTGGCCCCGTCCACACCGACCCTTTCTTTTCGTCTCTCTTTTCACAACTCCCACTTAATCAATAGGAGCATGGTGTCTATTTATACTCCAATGAAGTCCAATACCTAATGCCAAATAATTTAATCTTAGCCATTGGACGAGAGGGGAGCATGGATGAGAGTATTCCGGAAGAGCAGGCAAGCCACATCCAGGTGAAACCGGGCCTGGAGCTACAACTTAGGGGTTTCCAATGTCTAAGAACAAGGATCACAACAACATCTCAAACAAATTATCTTAACATGTACAAGAGAGAATATTAGGGGGGTCGTTTCACCTCTCTAGTAGTTTTGTCAAAACTCATACCCAATATCTCATTTTTGCCTATATCTCTTCCTACACACTTTGAATAAACTTTACATTTCATAACAAGATAATCAAACATGTATGATCATATCACACACAATTTTAACACCTTTCAAATTCACAAATTAGGAAAGCAAATTCAAAATCAAACATAACGGCTTGAGCATAGTTCACTCATCATGCACTGTCATTGCCACTCATGTCACTTGAGCCACCATTCCACTAAAAGCTCCCATGGACACCCCTCCCTTCCCGGTACCAGCCTATTCTCCTAGACACAAGACTTGCTCATTCGTAGCCTTAGAATAGGCTCTTCCCATATGAAGGCCATTTGGATTCATGAATATGAGCTTTCACTCTTGCTTGTTCCTCAACATTCTCTACTCAATTGCAGTCCAATGCTCCGCCATGGCCACCCTTCACTCCTTAGAGGCAAACCGACACTCCTGTAATTCCTTGAGCTTGTTACATCTTGTTCCATCTTGTGATTTCTCTTCTTTCTTCTCCACAACACACTCCATTCGTTTGCCACCATGCTGGGAGAGTTGGAGTTGTCCGACTCGCCTTTTTGTGGCAAGCGCTTCATTATTCCTTGTTTTTATTTAAGATCTGTGAGCTTGATGAGACTTCATTCAGTAACAGAGCACGCTTCTTTGACTTGGTAGGTGAAGATTTGAACACAAGCTTAGTGAGGTGCTCAACTGTGCGGTCGTCGAGTGTGTGAGCCAGCATATGCGACAGCTTGGTAGGCTCAATGTCCAGGGACGATGTGGTGAACTTCACCAGTGCGTCAGGGTCCGGGCGCCATGAGTCAAGCGTCGCTTTCTCATAGGCATCATGGCCAGTGCCGCCGATAACATGACCAGACTGTTGCACCATCTTCATGGCTAGCCATAAGTCCACATTGGCCATGAGAAGGTGCCAAAGAGCACCATGCTCCGTGAGAGAGCTGAAGCAAGCACACAGGAAGGCGACCATGCCATAGAGGGAGCAGCACTCAATGCACGTAAGGGTCCTAGTGCATAACTGCATACCATGTCCACCTGAAAGTCGAGCTCGAAGTCTGGGTGCGTGGGGAACGTAGTGCCATACCAAATGGTGTTGAGGATGATGTTCGAGACGGGATCCATGGGGCCATAGCAGTAGCCGCCCTTGATGAGGCTGCAATGGTGGAGCTTGCGCAAGCCGTCCCGAGGCAGCCGGGCAAGTGCCTCTAGGTACAGACCATGGATCTGTTTGTTTTTTGAAAAGGAGGCTTACCTTCGGTCTCTGCATCAATCGATGCATGCAGCCATATTATTAAAATCAAAACAAGGTCTTAAGTTCCATGGAAACTCAAAATCTGAGTAAGAAAGATAAACAAGTCTGTAAAACGCCACACCCGGCGAGAATGTGCCACATCCGGCTATAAAAAATAGGCTACGATGCCTACACACCTAGCCTATTATTAGCTCGCCATCCAAATTGGCTGAAGATAGCCCGTGCTATCGTCTCCCATCGGCTGCACCCAATAACCATAATCTCCCTGTAGTCTGCATGAGTGAGTAACAACCACATACGGATCCAGGTTGTAGCTTTATAGATAACCTGCAAAAAATTAGTGAATTTTGTCCCATTAAAAATCATATCATTTCGAGTGCATATAGCCCATAATAGTGCACATATTCCTATCCGAATATGTTTAGCTGTGTGTATGTCTACTCCATTAAGCCACATCCCAAATAACGTGTTGATACTCATTGGAGGATTAACGTTAAAAGCTATATGAATGAATCGCTATAACAATTTTGCAAGTGGACATTCGAGAAAGATGTGTTTAACTGTCTCGTTTTGATCACAAAAACAACATCTAGATTGACCGACCTAATTCCTTTTCATCAAATTATCTTTGGTCAAGATGACTCCTTAGTGGAAAAACCATGTAAATATCTTGATGCGGAGTGAAACTTTAATCTTTCATATGTGCAAAGACCTCGACAATGACCCGGAATCAATTAAGTCCAAATACATGGATTTGACACAGAATACTCCATTCGTGGTTAACTTCCAACTAATTGTATCCGCCTGATCTGAAAGTTGAACATCCATCAGCCTACGTACCAGGTGTAACCAAGCATTCCAACGTTCCCCTACAAGAGATCTCCTAAATTGGGTATTAAGTGGTACTGAGTTTAATACTGTGGCGACATAATCTTCCTTACATTGCACCATATTATATAGGGAGGGGTATTGTAAGGTCAGGGGCGTCTCCCTAGCCAAGTGTCCTCCCAGAACCTAGTAGAAGTACCACAACCAATTAGGAACTTCACCCGCTGGAACAAAGTTACTTTCGTCTTCATTAACCCTTTCCAAAAGGGTGAGTCTGTTGGTCTTGCATCACCTGGGCCTAAGTCTTAGTATGTAGATATTTATTCCACAAGATTTGTACCCACATGCCTTTGGTCTCCGTTGATAATCTGTATAACCATTTTCTAAGTAAACTTCTATTCTTTACCTTTAAATTCTTGGTCTCTAACCCACCCTAGTCTTTGGGTCTACACATAATATCCCATCTAGCCAGTCTATATTTTTTCTTGGCCTCATCGCTTTGCCAGAAGAAACGGGATCTGTAAAAGTCCAATCTTTTCCGTACCCCTACCGGTACTTCAAAGAAAGATAGGAGGAACATTAGAAAACTCGTCCGTAAGACATGAGCTAATCAACACCAACCTTCCTCCGTAAGACATGAGCTTGCCCTTCCAGTAGCTCAATTATTTTTCAAATCTATCTTCTATATATTTCCATTCTTTGTTCGTTAACCGTTTATGGTGAATTGGGATCCCTAGATAACTAAATGGTAGGGATCCCATTTCACAACCAAATAAGTTGTTGTAATTATCCTGTTCTTCTTTAGCTCTCCCAAAGTAGAACCGTTCTCTTTTATTGAAATTGATTTTGAGCCCGGATATTTGCTCGAAAAGGCATAAAATAAGCTTCATATTCCTAGCTTTTGCAAGATCGTGTTCCATGAAAATAATAGTATCGTCCGCGTATTGTAAGACGGAGACGCCCGCCCTCTACAAGATGGGGAACGAGACCTCCTACTTGGCCGCTCTCTTTAGCCCGACTAATAAGTACTGCCAACACCAACATATCCGCTATGATATTAAACAACACAGGAGACTGATGTCGCTTGAAGCTACGACGGTTTTTTCACTAAAGAGGAAGGGATGATGCAGCATAGCGGCGGTAGGTATTTCCCTCAGATATGAAACCAAGGTTATCGAACCAGTAGGAGAATCAAGCAACACAATGTAAACAACCCCTACACACAAATAACAACCACTCGCAACCCGACGTGTTAAAGGGGTTGTCAATCCCTTTCGGGTAACGACACTAGAAATGGCGTGTGGACGGGAGAGAGTTGTAAATATTGATAGATCGAACGCCAAATAAAATAAATTGCAAAAAGGTATTTTTGGGTTTTTGGTCTAATAGATCTGAAAATAAAAGCAAATAAAAATAGACCGCGAAGGCAAATAATATGAGAAAGAGACCCGGGGGCCGTAAGTTTCACTAGTGGCTTCTCTCGAGAAAAATAGCAAACGGTGGGTAAACAAATTACTGTTGAGCAATTGATAGAACCTCAAATAATTATGACGATATCCAGGAAATGATCATTACATAGGCATCACGTCCAAGATTAGTAGACCGACTCCTGCCTGCATCTACTACTATTACTCCACACATCGACCGCTATCCAGCATGCATCTAGTGTATTAAGTTCATGGAAAAACGGAGTAATGCAATAAGAACGATGAAATGATGTAGACGAGATCCGTTTATCTATGGAGGTAGATATAGATCCCATCTATTTATCCTTAGTAGCAACGATACATACGTGTCGGTTCCCTTTCTGTCACTAGGATTAAGCACCATAAGATCGAACCCACTACCGGGCACCTCTACCCATTGCAAGATAAATAGATCAAGTTTGCTAGATAAAAACCAAATATCAGAGAAGAAATACGAGTCTATAAGAGATCATGCATAAAAGAGATCAAAGAAACTCAAATACTTTCATGGATATAAAAAGATAGATCTGATCATAAACTCAAAGTTCATTGATCCCAACAAACACACTGCAAAAGAG